GAAATGTCAAGTCCTATATTGTCTGGGTCAAGGTGGGGAGAGCTGTGCACCATCCTGAAGGAGGAGACAGGGTGGGGCCAGTGGGATTTGAGGCGGTTTCATTGTAGGCAGAGAGGCAGACAAAGAAAAGGGGCCTTTGGCAACAAGGTAGAAGGTGACTTGCCCCAGAGTGAGAAGATCAAATGGATAAGCTAAGGAAAAGGCAGCAGGAACTGGGAAGGTAGTATGGTCAGGGAGCAAGAAAGGGGGAGGAGGAGTGGTTTCAGAGACTAGGGGAAGCCATGTGTGTATCTGGGAACACTCAGATTCTGCAAGGAGGGACTCATTAATTCAGTAGGTGCAGAATGCCTGAAGGCATGCAGTTAGCAGGGGAGCCAGAGAAGAGGAGGAGCCCAAATGCAGGGTTCTGAGGGACCAAAGTGAGGAGAGGAAGGGAGAGTGAGGTAGCCTATACATGGAGGGAGGGAGCCATCTAGAAGAGGACCCAGGAACAAGAGATTTTTTTTTTATTTTGTCGATTTGTGTGTGTGTGACCGTGTGTGTATATGTGCAGGTGTGGCAGATGTGTGTGTGCCCACAAAGGCCAGATGCCATGGATCCTCCGGAGCTGGAGTTACAGGCAGTTGTGAGCTCCCTGACATGGGTGCTGAGAACTGAATTTGGGTTCAGTTCCTCTGTAAGAACAGTACAGTCCCGTTGTGTTTTCTGAGACACTTCTCATGTAGCCCATGCTGGTATCCAACCCACTATTTAGCTGAGGAGGACCCTGAACTCCCAATCCTCCTGCCTCTACTTCCCAAGAGCTGGGATTACAGAAGTAAAATCACCCCAGTTTATGTGGTGCTGGGGATCAATCCTAAGGCTTCGTCCATGTTAGGCAAGCACTCTACCAACTGAACCACATTCCCAGTCCCTTTTTTTTTTTTGTGAGACAGGGTCATCCTGTAGCCCCAACAAGCCTGGAACTCACTATGTAGACCAGGCTGCCCTCCATCTCACAGAGATCTGCCTGCCTCAGCCTCCTGGGTGCTGGGATTAAAGGCACATGACACCACACCCTCTTTTTATTTTTCTTTTGTTGAAACTGGGCTTCCTTGTGTATTCCCAGGCTAGCTTTGAATTCACTATGCATTCTAGGCTGCCTCTAACTCACCATCCTCATGCTGCAGCCTCCTGAGTATTAGATTACAAGTATGTTCCACCATGCCCAGCAAGGGATCTTTGTGGAAGAAGATCAGTAAGAACATCAGTGCCTTTAAACCACCAGGGTACAACTTTTGAAGGAGTTTCAAGCCAGTCTACAGCAGCAGAGAGCACTCAGAGCTGGGCACACCTGCCACCTGTACAGCAGGAATAGGGCAAAAGGGAGACACTGGAGTTGGGCAGTCTGAGAGCTGTTCCCTAGCCATGCCTCCCAGGAAAGCTACTTAACTGCTTTGTGCCTCAGTTTTTCACTCATGAAAAATGCAAATGACTTGGTGCTGAAGAGATGGATCAGCAAGTAGTTAAGAGTACTTACTATTCTTGCAACTTGTAACTCCAGTTCCAGGGGATCTGACACTTACTTCTGCTGTCTCTGTCTCTGTCTCTTTCTCTCTCTCAAATTAAAAATAAACTGCTGAGATGGCTCAGCAGTTAAGAGCATAGGCTGCTCTTGCAGTATACTTATTCCAGTTCTGAGCACTCACATGGTGGTTAACCAACAGTCTGTAACTCCAGTTCAAGGGTCTGGTGTCTCTTCTGGTGTCTGTGGGGTACTTCGTGTACATGTTGCACTTATACATGTGCAGGCAAAACACTCATACACATAAAAAGCCAGGCATCATGGTCCATGCCTTTAATCCCAGCACTTGGGAGGCAGAGGCAGGTAGATCACTTAGATTAAGGCCAGCCTGGTCTAAATAGCAAGTTGTAGGACAACTGGGGCTACAGGGAGACTCTGCCTCAAAAATATGAAATAAATGAAGAAATTAAAAATGTAGATGACAGCTGAATGTGGTGGTACATCCTTTAATTCTAGCAGTCAGGAGGCAGAGCCAAGCAGATCTCTGAGTTCATGGACAGCCTAGTTTATATAGTGAGTACCAGGCCAGTCAGAACTACAGAGTGAGACCCTATCTAAAAAAAAAAAAAATGCAGATGACAATATTATTTTTTGGTCTTTTTAAGACAGGGTCTCCCTGTAGCCCCAGCTGGACTGTAACTCACTATGTAGACCAGGCTGGCCTCAAACTCAACAGAAACTTACCTGCCTCTGCTTCCTGAGTGGTGGGATTACAGATGTGTGCCACCACGCCTGACCTTAAATTCACTCTGAAGTCCTCAAAACAAATAAATGAGAATCCCATTATGGTGGTACACATCCATAATCCCAGCATTTAGGAGGTGATAGCAGGGGATCAAGACTTGAAGACCAGCCTCAGTTACTAGTCTGTGGTATATGAGACCATGTCTCAAAAATCAATTCAAAGAACTGTCCTCTGGAACTAGGCCCATCATCCCAGCTTCTCAGAAGACAGGATTGCAAGTTCAAGGCCTGACTGGGCTACAGAGTGTGAGTTCAAGGACAGGCAGAGCAACTTAATGAAATCCTGTCTTAAAAAGAAAAAAAGAGCCAGGCGTGGTGGCGCACGCCTTTAATCCCAGCACTTGGGAGGCTGAGGCAGGCAGATCTCTGTGAGTTCAAGGTTAGCCTGGTCTACATTGTGAGTTCCAGGACAGCTGGGGCTACAGGGAGACCCTGTCTCAAAGAAAAAAAGAGGGTGCTGGAGAGATGGCTCAGCGGTTAAGAGCACTGGCTGTTTTAGACACGAGTTGTAGTTAAATTTACAGCTGGGAGACGTGCACAGCTTCCAGGCTCCTGGCACCCTCCTTTCACCAACCTTACGACAAACTGAGGTAATATTCCTTGGTTTAGGGAATAAAAGAATTTATTGGGCTTCCTAACAGAGCATAGGGTGGTGGTGGAGGGTACTTACAAAGGTGTGGGCACCCTTGGGCTTTTTCCCTATATTGCGTCTGGAGCCCCCTGAACTGCTGGTGGTGGTCCCAGATGGAGAAAGCCATCCCATTTCTCTGGCTTCCCCTGTCCCTATCCTTAGTTCCCCCCAACTCATGTAGCTAAGGCTGACTGGGTGGGAGGGGTGACTGACTCCCTCTGCCCCGCTCCTCCTATTGAAGGTCTTATAGTCAAATAGTTTGAGGTGATTGGAGCAAGCTGGTGAGAAGCTAGAGAAGAAGGCATCTCTCCACTGCTTGCCAGTCTAACTGGCCACTCAGAGGACAAGTTCATCCAACACAGGTTCAGTTCTCAGCGCCTATGTGGCAGCTAACAACAGTTTGTAACTCCAGTTCCAGGGGATCTGACACCCTCTTCCCTACATGGGCATTGCATGACGTGTGCACTTACATACAAGCATGCAAAGCACTCATACAAAAATGTTTTAATATTTTTATTATTTTTAAATATTTTATTTTTATTTTATGAGTGTTTGTCTGCATGTATGTAAGTGCACCCATGTTGTGTAATGCCCGAGGAGGTCAGATCCCCTGGAACTGGAGTTATGGACAGTTGTTAGCTGCCATGTGGGTGCTTGGAATCAAACCCAGGTCCTCTGCAAGATCCAGTGCTCTTAATTGCTGAGCCATCTCTCCAGCCCCCTATTTTATTTTATGTGTATGAGTGCGTATGAGTATGTATGTAAGTGCACCTGTCACGCATTGCCCATGGAGGTCAGAAGAGGGTGTCAGATCCTCTGGAACTGGTATTATAGAAGGTTCTTGGCTGTCATGTGGGTACTGGGAACTAAACCTGGGTCCTCTGCAAGAGTAGCCAGTGCTCTTAACCACTAAGCCATCTCTCCAGTTTTAGACACAATGAACAACCTACTGTTATCTGTGCACCCACACATATACACACAAGAGAAAGAAAAGATAGAAGAAAAGAAAGGAAGGAAGGAAAGAAGAAAAAAGAAAAACAGAGAGTGAGAGAGAGAGAGAGCAAGAGAGAATAAAGAAAACAGGGCATGATGGTACATACCTTTAATTTCAGCACTTGGGAAGCAGATGCAGGTGGATCTCTTAGATCGAGGCCAACCTAGTCTACATAGTGAGTTCCAGGCCAGTTGGGAATACAGGAAGGAAAAAAAAAAAAGGACTAGGGATATAACACAATGGTAGAGTATTTTGCCTGGATTCAACCAGTGAGGGAACACAAGGGTAGCTCAGTGGGAGAGCATATGCCATCTGCCTAGAATCTCCCAGTGAGTGACTAGGGGTGTGGCTCAGTGGTAGAGCACCTGTCTAGAATCCCCCAGAGAGGGACTCCCGGGGTGTGGCTCAGTGGTGTAGAGCTCCTGCTTAGACTGAGGTGTGGCTCAGTGGTAGAGTACTTTCTTAGTATGTATGATGCCTTGGGTTCTATCCTTACTAAGCTGACTGGATATGATGCACACACCTGTATTCCCAGCACTCAGGAAACTGAGACAAGAAGAACCCAAGTTTGAGACCAGCCTGAACTACATAGATGGACTCTGTCTCAAGAAGAAGGAAAAAACAAAAGTTTTATCTGACTTTGTCCTATCTCCACCCAAAATTTGCCAGTGGTTTCCATCTCAGAATAAAAGCAGAGGTGGTAGGCTGAAGAGATGGCTCAGTGGGTAAAATGCTTGCTGTGCAAACATGAAGACCTGAGTTTGGATCCCCAGCATTCATGACATTCACACAAAGATACACAAATAGATATAATTTAAAATATTTTAAATACATTTAAAAAATAAGGTGGAGAGCAATAGAAGACACCCAAATCAATTTCTGGCCTCCCTGCATACACAAGCGAGCACGTCCATAGACATAGGTACTTGCTCCCACAAAAATGCAGAAACTGAAACCCAAAGGTGGTTTCATGACCCAAGGGCCTCTATAACACCACCTTCTTTTGCTACCTGCTCCCTCTGCTTCCTATAGTGAGGCATTCTGTCAATCACATCAACACCTTTGCAAACAGTTTTTGCTTTTATTGATCAAGAATCTTATAAAATCCATGTACAAACACAAACATCTACATACATGCAAGATGCCTGCCCTGCTCCAGTGACCCCTTGCCTTGGTGTCTCCCAACATCAGACCTCGCTGGCCTCACCCAGAGAAAGCCATCCTTCAGTCCATATCATTGGTGCAGGGGCAGAGAGAGGGGAGCTCCTGCTCTGCCTCCCTGGTCAGGAACTGAGGCCACTGCCCTTTGTCGGAGAGCAGCTAGGAGTGACAAGGAAATAGAGTTGACCTCTTCCCTCCTCTGAGCTCCCTGAGTGGCATGCTTAGGTCCCCAAGTGTCATAGCTGTTAATGCCTTGGGGTCCTCTGTTACAAACGGAGGCCCAAAGATGGGCTGCCAGTCACTGGAGATCACAGATTAGTGTAACACAGGAACAGGAACCCAGCTCTCGAGTCTGTCCCCAGAAGTGAAGAGTGTAGACTTGGGAGCTGCTTGATTCTCAGGAAAGGGGCCAGCCAGGGTTAGGGTCAGGAGGGGAGTGCCCACAAGTTGTCCCTGGAGCCCAGCAGGTCTCTCCAGGACTATAATGGCCTGCCCAGGGTTCCCTCTGTGACTGCTCGTGTGGCTTGCTCAGGCACGCAGCTTGGGTCGGTCAGGATGCTGGTGGATGTGCTGAGCTGGCGAAGGGAGTTCAAAACAGCTGAAGAAAGAGAGACAGGAGATAGCTCTGAGGTTAGGAGCAGACAAAGGCACCGGGGAAATACTAGTTCAGACAAGTGGCCACTCCCAAAACCTCTTTAGGTATCTCGGAGACTAGAGGACCAAGGGGCACAGTGGAGTGGCCCAAAACCCTGGGCTGTGTTCAAAAAGGCTGGACCTTGGGACCAAGCAGAGTGAGCTTGAACCCTCTGCCCTAAGGCCTTAACTTTTGTGTGTATATGTGGTACTGGGAATTGAACTCAGGTATTTGTACATGAGAGGCAAATGCTCTACTACTGAGCTAAGCTACTAACCCCTCACTGAAGGATTCTAGGCAGGTGCTCTACCACTGAGCCACACCCCCAGCTCCTTACTGAGGGATTCTAGGCAGGTGCTGTACCACTGAGCCACACCCCCAGCCCCTCACTGGAGGATTCTAGGTAGGTGTTCTACCACTGAGCCACACCCCCAGCCCCTCACTGAGGGATTCTAGGCAGGTGCTCTACCACTGAGCCACATTCCCAGCCCCTCACTGAGGGATTCTAGGCAGGTGCTCTACCACTGAGCCACACCCCCAGCCCCTCACTGGAGGATTCTAGGCAGGTGTTCTACCACTGAGCCACACCCCCAGCCCCTCACTGAGGGATTCTAGGCAAGCATTCTACAAGGCCCCATACTTCTACTGGCAGGCAGGTGTTCACATACTTGGCCGGAGAGCAGGCAGGGAGCAGTACTGGTCCAGCCAGGCTAGTGAGGTCTGACGGAGGCTGTGCAAACTTGCAGTGGACACCATCCCATTGAAGGACTCAAACAAAGGCCGGATGAGGATACTGAACTGGGCCTGGGGTCAAGGAGCACACCTGTAGTCTGACGGCACCCTGCTACCTCACGTGGAGCCATGTGCCTGATCCAAACCAGTGCCAAGGAAGGCCTGTCAGTATCAAACTCTGAACACTAAAGAATCCTGCTGTGCTCACTTCCCTCCCTGCCCAAGGGTGGTCCATCTCTCTGGCTTTCAGTCCCCTCTTCCTAGTCCCTCCACAATCCTTATTCTGTGTTAGATCATCTGACATCTCTGAGCTCAATCAAGAACTTGAATACTGGCTGGATAGCACATCCCTGTAATCCTAGCCTCTCTGAGGTCTGAGGCAGGAGGATTGCAAGTTCAGGGCATATCTTGGCTACGGAGTGAGTTCAAGGGCAGCCTGGGCAACTTAGGTCTCAAAATACAAATAAATAAACAAATAAAAACAGAAAAAAAAATAAAGGCTGGGGATATAGTTCGGTAGTAGATTGCTTGTCTAGCATTTGTAAGACTATGTTTAATCCCAAGTATAGTTTAAAAAAAATAAAAAACAAGCCGGGCGTGGTGGCACACGCCTTTAATCCCAGCACTCGGGAGGCAAAGGCAGGCGGATCTCTGTGAGTTCAAGGCCAGCCTGGTCTGCATAGTGAGTTCCAGGACAGCTGGGGCTACAGGGAGACCCTGTCTCAAAAAGACCAAAAAAATTAAATAAATAAATAAATAAATAAATAAACAAACAAACAATGAACCTTAATCTTGGGGGACTCCCTGCTTTCTCTAAGCCTCATGGGACTCAGACTGCTTTCACTTCATCCCCACTCCCCAGCCTCTTTCCTCTCTTACTCCCACTCTCAGCTCCCAGTCACAGGAACCAGATAATCCTGCAATCCCAGGGTCAGACAGTAGGGGACAGAACGAAAGTCCATTCCTAGGGACCCTGCTGCTCAGCCTGTGATCTGAAACAGCCTGCTCTGGCTAATAATACCAGCTTAAGTAAGGATACTACCCAGAACTTCCAGTTGTGCAGCGTGCGAGTCCGGACATAGTCATCAAACATGTCCCGCATCTGGTCAAAGCGCTGGTGTGTGATGGGCACCCCAGTGGCTGGTAGTTGCTGCTGGCACAGGCTGGGGATGGAAAGAGTCAAGGTTAGGGAGTCTGAGACACTATATCTCCTTTACCCCAGTCCTTGAATACTTTGTTTGGTGCTGAGGATGGAACCTAGTTCTTTTTTGAGACAGGGTCTCCCTGTAGCCCCAGCTGTCCTGGAACTCACTATGTAGACCAGACTGGCCTTGAACTCACAGAGATCCGCCTGCCTTTGCCTCCCGAGTGCTGGGACTAAAGGCCTGTGCCACCTCCCCCGGCAGAACCTAATTCTTATAGATGCTATGCAAAGGTCTTACCACTGTCGGAGCCACACCCCAGCTCGTCACTGGGGGATTCTAGGCAGAAGCTCTACCACTGAGCCACACCCCCAACACCTCACTAAGGGATTCTAGGCAGGTGCCCTACTTCTGGGCCCCTTTTCAGCTGCTTCTGCTTACTTGATGGCAGCATTGAGCTCCTCAATCTCATCCCGCAGCTGCTGTGCCTCCTCCTGCATAGCTGCCCGCTCCTGCTGCAGCATTAGGATGTATTCTGCAGTCTTCTGCAGCGTGGTTGCTTTGCTCACCTGTGGGTGCCACCAGTGTGGGTCTCGGTCCTGGCAGGCCCTGGGATTGGGTGTTGGGTGGCAATCCAGGAAAGGGCTCCACAACTCCAGGGGAGGGTGCATTCCCAGCTGAGGGCTCACCTTGAGGCTTGGCTGGGCACTGAGTGTGCTCACGAGTCCATGAAGGGTGTCAAATCCCAACTTGATATTGAAACGCCGCTTCTGCTCTGCAGAGATATGTGTGATGCGCCGGTTCTCCATCTTGGAAAGCAGAAGTTGGGGTAAGTCTAGAAAGGAGACCTGGAGGAAGGACTGGTAGTGAACGCATCTTGGGGATCCAGGGACAGCACTTACCTTGGTGTCTGCACGCCCTCGGCTTAGGATGGGTTGAGGGGGAGACACTCGGACACCTGGTGCCCCAGGGGGTGGTATGGAGTTGAGTTCCCCTGACAATCGCCGCTCATTGCCTGTGGTAGGGACAGACAGACCCACAGACAGACCGACACACAAGAGAGAGGGTCCCTTTGCCCTGTCCCAATCATCCTGGCCCAAGGCACGCCCCCCCCCTTTATCTTTCCCTTCCCTTTATCCCCTAGGGCCCTCAATCCTTCTAGCCCTTCTTTACCGCCAAGTGCTGGGGGTGACAGCCGCTCCGCTTTGGGGACAATCAGGGACCTCGGAGGGGCCAATGTGGCTGGGCCCAGTGGTGGCTGGGGTGGTGTAGGGGCGGGAATCAGAGGGAAGCAGGCACGGGGAAATTCAGGGACCGTCTCCTGCTTGGGTGTAGAAGGGCATAGAGTTGGGGTGATGGCCCTGGGCTGACCCCCTACCTCCCAGTTCCAACATCTTACCGGGGACCCTGCGGGCCGGATAAGGGTGCTGGGCACAATCGGTGGTTCCAGGCCTTGCTCAGGTTTGGCTGGATACAGGCAGGACTATGAGGACCGCTAGACTGGCCCAATCAAGTCCATCACCGATCAAGACCCCTTCTCATCCCCCTGACAACCTGCACCCCTTTTAGATATAGCTTATGCCCTAATGATACCCCACCTTCTCCCTGTCCCCCAAGCCCACCCTAAAACCCTAATTCTCTGCCCCTTCAGCCTCACTACTCCTTCTGGAGTTGATTACCCACCCCCATTTACTTGTCCCTTGAATCTCACCTGCCCTGAGCAGCTGGGTAAGGCAAGGGTTATTGTCTCTGGCAGTGGTAGTTGGGTTGGCAGTGGCAGGGGCCAAGGTGGGAGGACTGGCTTTCCGTCCCCCAGGGGATGAGGCAGGGTGTTTGTGTTTGGGCTGCACACTCTGAGGCATGGTAAAGTGTGGCCCAAAGGCTGGTTCTGGGTACCCATGGGGCAGATGGTCTATGGGGAAGTGGGGAGGGGCAGGGCCAGGGCCAGGGTGTGGAGGGGGAGGGAAGGTAGTGGGCACAGGCAGAGGGGACACTCCCAGAACTGGAGGGACTGTGGGGATGGGAAATCTGGCTGAGAAGAGGGGCTCTTCTGGCAACAAAACAGGGGGTGGTGCCATTGTGGGGAATGGGGGTGCAGTGCAGGGCTCCAGGCCCTGTGTCTTGACAGGGGTTGGATATGGGAGGAAGGGAGGTGCTGTAGGAGCATGGGGAAGCTTGGTCTTGGGCTCTTCAGGAAGGAGAAATTCAGAGCTCAAGTAGGTACTGGGGTCCAGGGATGCAGAGCAGCTGTTCCGAGTCTAGGGGAACAGGGGGAGACAGACAGATACTCAGAGATCAGGGGAGGGACTGCCTCCTTGCAGCCACCAGGAAGCCTCCATTCTGGCTATCACTGGACTGGGCACTGCAGAGACAGAACCAATCCCTGTATGTGCACACATGTACCCACACATGGAAATTATAATCTAATGTACAATTGTAACCTCATATGACCTTTATACACAAATTAGGCATGACACAGAACATCAATCTGATGATCTGTGATCCATTCACCCACCAAATAATTATTAATCTAATCTCCATTCGGCCACTCATCAACCAGTCACCCAATCTATCCTTCCATTCGCCCAGTTTTCATCAATATCAATCCACTAACTCACTCACCAATCCTCCAGTTTGTCTATTCCTTATCCAGCCATACATTTGGCATCCATCCACTAACTCAACTCTAATCTATGTATCATCCATCCATCATCCATCCACTCACCCACTGAGTTATGTATCATCCATCATCTAGTCATCCATCAATCTACTAACTCACCCACAAACTATGTATTGTCCACTCATCCATCCACCTATCCGTTCACTAATTCACCCATCAATCTGTGTATCATCCACAAATATATGTATCATTTGTCCATCCATCTACTAATTTACTAACTCACCCACTAATCTATGTACCATCCATCCATCCATCCATCCATCCATCCATCCATCCATCCATCCACCCATGCATGCATCCATCCAGCCAGCCAGCCAGCCATCCAGCCATCTGCTAACTCACCCACCAATATGTGTATTTCTTAACCTGCGTATTCTCTCCTCTATGAACTCAACGATCTCTCTATCTCAACCCCAGCTGTGATTCATCTGGATTAGCAATTTGATTGGACTAAGAGATACCTAGGTGATTGGTGAGGTACACTAGTATTTCCTCGAGGCCATTTCCAAGGGATGTACTGGTTAATTTCCATTGTCGACCCAATTAGAATAAGACATAGGTAGTGCATTAGTGAGCATACCTCTGGGTATGACTCTGAGGGTTTCTATAGAGGGTTAGTTGAGGGAGAAGAATGTGGACAGAACCATCCCATGGGATGTGATCCCAGACTGAACAAAAAGAAGCATGTGGACCAGCAAGCTGGCTCAGCAGGTTAAGGCACTTGCCCCCGAGCTTGATAAATAAAATAAATAATGTAAAATATGTAAAAAAAAAAAAAAGGAGGGGGGGGGCTAGTGAGATGGCTCAGTGGGTAAAGGGCTTGCCACCAAGCTTTATGATCTGAGTTCAAACCATGGGACCCACATGGACAAGAAGACTGACTCCCAGAAGTTGTCTTCTGACCTCTACATGCTCACACTGTGACATGTGTATCCCCTCCCCCATATCATACATACATACAACAACTAAATTAAAAAGAAAAAAGAAGCAAAATATCAGCATTTATCTCTCTCTATGGTCCTAACTGTGGACATAGTGTGACAAGCTGTCTCACACTGCTGCTTCCATGCCTTCTCCACCATGAGGGCAGTATCCCCTCAAATCATATTCCAAAATAAACCTTTCCTTAAGTTGCTTTGTTGAGTATTTTGTCATAGCAAAGAGAAAAGTAACTAATATGGGTGGGCCATAATGTAAGTTGCACCACCCCATAGGCCACAAGTCCAGATGGAAAAAAACAGGGAAAGAGAGACAGCCAGCTAGTAAAGGCACCCCCACTTCTGTCTCTGCTTCCTGGCTGTCATGCTGTCATGATGTGACTTCCTCTGCTTTGTCACACCCTCCCCAACATGATGGACACAATCCTCCAAAACCATAAGCAAAATAATTCCTTTTCCCTCAGGTTGTTTTTCTAAGTATATAGCATAGTGATGGAAGTCTGGCTGATGCTCTAGCCTACAGGTAGTAAGCCATTCACCAATCCATCCAACCATCGAAACTCTTTATTCCCCTACCAGCCCACTCATAATTCATCAGTCCACCAAACTACTATCTACCAACCTACCCACCAGCCCAAGCACTTACCACTTCATTTGTCAGTCCACCAAATGATATATGTTTCTATGAATCACCCACCAGCCTATCCACCCAGCCATTCTTCTACCTTACATTCCTTACCCACATATGTACACCCCATTGTCTACAACCATCTTTCCACTCACCAGGATGTATGTATATCTCCCTGTACACTCATCCATTCATTCACATGCTCAGTCAGTGGAAAACTATTTACTGAATGATACTCTGTTTGTGGAAACCACAAGATAGAAAGAATGCAGGGTGACCAAAACAACCCTTCCAGCAAGAGGCTGCCAAACCAGTGAAGGAGAGAGACCTCTCACAATCAACTATAACAGCACCCGAAAAGTCTGATGATAGAAGGAAAGGACTCTAGCATGGTGAGCTTTAGTGGTCAACGTCACACAACCTAGAATCACCTAAGAGTCTGAATAAGGGATTGTCTTCATTGGGTCGGCCTATGGGTAAGTCTGTGGGGAACTGTCTTAATTGAGGTAGGAAGACCCAGCCCATTGTGGGCAACACTGTTCCCTAGGCAGGGGCTCTTGAACAGAGTAGAGTGATGGTGACTATAAGCAAGTGAGGAAGCAAGCATCCCTGTCTCTCTGCTCATGACTGTGGCTGTGATGTGACCAGCTGCTTCAAGCTCCTGCCTTGACTTCCCAAGTGATGGCCTGTGACCTGGAACTGAGGGTGAAAACCAACCCCTTTCTTCCCTTAGTTGCTTTTGTGTCTGGGTATTTCGTCACAGCAACAGAAATGAAGCTAGAAGAGATTCCCAGCAGGGAAGCCATGTCTGAACTAGGCATGGAGTTCTTGAACCATGTTCAGTTTCCCAAACATACAACACGCTGAGTTTCCTGCCTCCGTGCTTACATTTGTGCTGCCTGCTCTTCCTTCTACCTGGCTCACCCTCTGACAGGCTCTTCTGTCCAAACTCAACCTGTTCCCTAAGACCCAGAACCCCTTCTCCTCCAAGAAGCCTTCCATGAGCAACTCAGGTCTGGATGGTGCCCTGCTCTGTGGTTCTCAAGCCCTCTGCCTTCCCCCACCTCTCTCATTCATTTCTGTAGGGTCCTCTTTCTTTTCTGGCTGGGCCCTTCTAGGGTCTCTTATTGGTTGGTCCAGGAAGTGTCTAATCTGTCTCCTGGACCCAGGCAGAACTGGAGTTAGCTTCAAATGACCTGGACAGGCAGAGCAGAGCAGGATGGCTTACCTGTAGGCGGGTATTCCCTAAGAGGTGGGGCATCCCAGAGGAGGAGGAGGAGGAGGAGGAGGAGGAGGAGGAAGAGGCTGGGGGCACCACCTCAGGACCCAAGATCCCACTGCCAAAGACAGAGTCAGTCATGGGGCCGAAGCTGGGGGGCTCCAGGAAGTTCGAAGATGTGGGCGTCTGTGGGGGCCGGTAGTTGGTGAAGAAATCTGTAATTGGGACACATAGGGTGGCAAATGACATTAGAATTCAGGATTGGCACTGGGCACCATCCTCAGGCTGGGTGGAGGTGGGGTGGGGGCTGTCAGGAGAGGTGGAGGGCTTCTATGACTATTGTGAGACAGTTCCTGTCATTCACAGGAGAATCTGGAACAGTGATAGGGGTGGGATGGGCCTTGGGGAGATGGTGGGGTCTGGAAGGGAATGGGCAGGGACCCCAGGAAGCTGCCCACCCTCAGAGCCCCATACTTGGCTCACTTCTGGTCCCTGTGTCTGCTCCTAGTACTACTGGTGTTCTAGAAAAAAGGGTCAAAGAGGACCTGGGAGGGAAAGAGGTGGGTGCATGGGAGTCACCCCGATGTGTCAGAAGTTCAAGGGGTAAGTCAGAGGTGAGCGGGGTCAGGAGGTCAATGGGTCTGAAGTAGGTTAGGCTTCCTGAAAGATCGGTTGGTTGGGGCTGTAAGAGCGGAAGCTAGGAATGGAATGAAGGGTCGATGGGATGACATTCTGGGGGACAGAACTGGGGTTTGACTAAGGGGGGCTGGAGAGCCCAAAGAGCTTCTGGGAGAGGCAGGCAAGGCAGCCAGATTGTTTGGGGGGTACAGGTTGTGTAAGTTCTGGGCTATTCTGGTTTTGGGAAGCAGCTGCCTATGGTCTAACCACATCCCGGGCTGGGGCGACACCCACCCACCCTCTCCCTTCCGGGCACCTTTCTCTGACCCTGACCAGCCTGTAGTCTGTGCCAGCCCCCAAGGCCTCCTGGGCCAACAAGAGCAAACCCCACCATGGTAGCTCCCCACAGGGCTTGGATGGGCTTTGACCCCCCAACTTTCCCTCCAGCCAAGAGAGTAGTCAGGCCTCTGCCAGAAATCCCCCTTTCTGAAGACCAAGAGTGTCTGAGAATGTCAGAGGTGTGTGTGTGTGTGTGTGTGTGTGTGTGTGTATGTGTGTGTGTGTCTGTCTGTCTGTCTGTTGAGAGCATGTATCTGTGTATGTGTATGTATTTATGTGTACACATGTGTATGGTATATGTATATGTACATACTTATGTGTATATGTGCATACTTATGTGTGAGCATGTGCATGAGAATATAGGTGTGTTGTGTGTGTATATGTGTGTGTATCTGGTGTGTGTATGTATATGTATGTATGTGAGCATGTTCATGAGCATGTAGGTGTGACATGGATATATGTGTGTACATATGTGTGAGTATATGTATGAACATGCAGCTGTGTTGTGTACAGTGTATGAGTGTAAATGTGTATTTGTGTGGACAAGTCATAAACATGCAGGTATGCCATGTGTTTGCACATATATATGCATGAGTATGTGTGAATATGCATGTGCATGATATGTATATGTGTGTGCATACATGAGCATATGTATGCATGTATGTATCTGTATATATGCAAGGATGCACATGTGTGGTGTGTGTATATAGATGTGTGCATGTGTGTATGAGCATTTGCATGTGGATATGTATATGGTGTGTAGTGTGTACATGTATGCATGTGTACAGTGTGCATAAATGTGCATGTGTGTAATATATATGTGAATGTTTAGTGTATGGCACGTGTAGCATGCATATGTATTCATGTGTGTGATGTATAGAACATGCATGTGTATGTAAATGAAAATGTATGTGTGTGGTGGTGTACGTGTACGTGTGTATGTTCATTATGTGTGGTGTGTGTGTAGGAATGTATATGTGAATGTACATGTGTGTATCTTCGGTAACTCTGCCTGGCCAGAAGACCAAATAGGTTCTGACTGTCAGTGTGGTGATATGAAGCAACAGCCTACCTCCCAGGGTGTCTGTCCACGTCACACCTCTGTGTGTGCCCACCTGCCACACCCACATTTCCTTCAGTTTCACTTAAAGTAGTTTCTTGTTGTCCTGTGGTTCCCCTTTAACAAAGGGACTGGGGGGGGGACTAGAACTAGAGAGGAGCCACCAGTGTTCCATCCTTCTCCCCCAAGGACCATTCTCATCAGGCCTTGCCTGTTCTCTGCTGCTGGAGCCCAGCCTTTCAGGGGCATAGTGTGGCAAATCATCGCACGCCTGAGCCATCAGCTACCCCCTTACCATTGTCTGCCTATGCCTGTCCCCACCTGCCCTGAGAGCCACTTTCCTTTCTTAGCTTCCCACCAAACCCCAGCTCCTCCCTGGCCTGGTTGCCACACTGACAGGCCATACCACCCCCATCCCTGTACCTACCCTCCTCCAACCCCAGCCCCATAGAATTCTAGGCCTTCGGCTGACCTCTCCAGAGACAAGACAGAGTAGAAAGCCTGGTGGCCCTGGTGGCTCGAGGCCCTCCCAGTGCATGTGCATGGGGTTCTTGAGAGCATCAGTGTAGCCACTGGAGACCCGTGCTTGCCCCTCCCCAGCTGCCACCCTGAATTGAACAGTTACTGCAAACTCCAGTCCATCCTGAATGTGCCCACAACCTAGGTGGGCACAGTTGAGCTCCTACCTGTAGCAGGGGTCTGTGGGCCAAATCTGAGCTGCTGCCCCTTCTGGCAGGTCATCTCCCAGGGCACTGCTATCAATGCCTCTGCCCCTCACAGCCCCCACCCTCCCAGGGCTGAAGTAGGGGTGGGGGTGGTTCCTCATTCCTTAGTTCCCACCCCATAGGCCTTTACCTCTTGAGTGATAGGTCCAAGACTCTGTAGGGAAGGAGCTGCGGGGAGAGGTCACTAAAATGGGTGACAGAGGTTTAACCCTGGTGTCTGCCTGGCCCTTCAGCATGGCCTTGGAAGCCCCTGAAGGCATGCCTGTGCTGAACACTAAGGAATATGCTCAGTAAGACAGTGATGTGAGGAAGGAAGACTCCATATAAAAACAAGAATCAAGTTTTGTCAGGTGTAATGGCTCATTCCATAACTCCAAAGGCTGAGGCAGGAGAATCATGAGTTAGCCCTGAGTAGACAGGAGCCTGAGAAACTTGCCACATTGAAAAATGCTTTAAGAGACTTGATGTCTTGGATTCACTCATCAGTTAAAGTGGTTTATGAGGTGCTTGGGGTCAAACCCAGGGCCTCTCCCATGCTAGTCTATAAAGGGTCTGGGGTATGGCTCAGTAGTAGAGCATTTGCTATTGAGGGGCTAGGGGCATTGACTCAGTAGTAGAACACCTGCCTAGAATCTCCCAGTGAGGGGCTTGGAGTGTGACTCAGTGTTAGAGCACCTGCCTAGAATCCCCTAGTGAGGGGCTGGCAGTGGGGCTCAGTGGTACAGCACCTGCCGAGAATAACCCACTAAAGTGCTGGGATCATGGCTCAATAGTAGAGCATCTGACTAGTAGGCATAAGGTCCTCAACACCACATACACATACAAATATATATATATATATAATGTATATTTATTATATATATATATATAATAAATAGACCCTAACAAATCCAAGTCTAAATCCCTGTCCACACTGATTCCAGGCATCCACTACTCTTCTGGGAGCCTCTGGCATCTGTAGTTTCAAAGACCCTGCCCCCTGGCCTTGTACTCTGTCCAAGTCCTTACCTAAATTCACAGTGACTACATCCTAAGGCTCACAAAGGCAGCCCAGAGAAATCCCAGAAATGGCCTGCTCCTCCTGCATTCATCCTTCTGTGGCTATGACCTTCCAAAGGCTTTCTTTGAATTGACTCTGTCCGTCTGCCCTGCCACCTGCCCCCCACTCCCCCACATGAGGACCTATCCCACCTGATATCTCCATGAAGTCATCTAGGCTGGGCTGCAATGGTGTCAGGTCCGGCTGGATCATGTCAGCATTGCCAACATAAGCTGCAGGGACAGTAGTGACATCAGAAGTTGCAGATGGGGAAATGGCTCCCTCCTAACCATACTCCTTGGCTGCCTGGATTGTTACAGGTCTGAGCCCCTCTCCCATTCTCTCCTCACCATCTTCTTGGGGCAGCTGCAGGGATGAGGGGCTGGGCTGTGTCATGGTGAAGAGAGTGTCGGAGATATCAGACAAAAAACAGTCGAGGTCCAGGAGTTGCCGCCCACCGGGCTCCTCCTGAGGGCCCCTGAGCAGCACAGGTACCACACTGGAGAAGAGCTGTTCGCACCATCGCTCTGGTGGTGGCCACCCACCTTCCACCTAGCAGGACAGAGTGCTTAGTGCCCTGGCCCTCCATATCACCCCTGTCTGGGATGAAGTGGTCCCCCACCCCAGCCAGAAAGCCTCTCTAAAAGACACTACCTCACTTTTCCCTGATGGGCCTGGTTTATTATATAGAAGTTCAAGGTCATCCTATTGGCCTATAACAACTCGCCGCCCCCCAGGAAACTGACCAGGTTAGCTAGTAGCCCTTCCAGCTCTCTATGCTGTTAGTTTGACTTGGATGTATTTTTAAAATTATTTTTACTTTATGTGTCTGAGTGTTTTATGTAAGAAAACCCATGTTGCACAATGCCCACAGAGGCCAGTAGAGAATGTTGGATCCTCTGACGGACAATTGTTAGCCACCATATGGGTGCTGGGAACTGAACCCAAGTGCTCTGCAAGAGCAGCCAGTGCTCTTAACTGCTCCATCTCTCCAGTCCCAATTTATTTATTTTTATTTTATGTATGTATTTTGCCTGCATGTATGTAAGTGCATCATGTGTGTGCAATGTACACAGAGACCATAAGAGGGTGTTGGATCCCCTGGCACTAGAGCTATAGGAATGGGACCCAGGTCTTCTGCAAGAGCAGCTAGTGCTCTTAACCTCAGCCATCTCTTTAGCCCATAGATAGATAGATGATTGATTGATAGATAGATAGATAGATAGATAGATAGATAGATGATAGATAGATAGATAGATAGATAGATAGATAGATAGATGATAGATAGATAGATAGATAGATAGATGGCTCCTGTTTTTAAAAAGTGTATATATTAGCCAGGCGTGGTGGCACATGCCTTTCATCCCAGCACTTGGGAAGCAGAGGCAGGCAGATCCCTGTGAGTTCGAGGCCAGCCTGGTCTACATAGTGAGTTCCAGGCCAGCTGGGGCTACTGGGAGACCCTGTTTCAAAAAGACAAAAAAAAAAAAAAAGGTGTATATATTTATTTGCTTTTTTTGGAGGGGGATCTTTTTGAGACAGGGTCTCCCTGTAGCCCCACCTGGCCTGGAACTATGTAGACCAGCCTGGCCTTGAACTCACAGAGATCTGCCTGCCTCTGCCTCCCGAGTACAGGGACTAAAGGTTTGTGGCACCATGCCTGGCTTTAGTTACTTATTTTTATGTGTATGAGTGTCATGCACTGCCCACAGAGGTCAGAAGATGGTGTCAGATCCCATGGAACTGGAGTTCGGGTGAACCAACGTGTAGGTTCTGGGAATTGAACTCTGGTCTTCTGCAAGAACAGCAAATGCTGTTAACCACCACACCATCTCTCAAGCCCCTGGCTTTGATTTTTTTTTTTTGGCAGGGTTTCTTGTAGCCCAGGCTGGCCTGGACTCCCTATGTGGCCAGGGATGAACTCTACCTCCCCACTACTGGGATTACAGGTGTGTGCCACCAAGCTCAGCTAGTTTGGTTGTTTTTTTTTTTTTTTTTTTTTTTTTAGACGGGGTCTCTATATAATTGAGATTGACCTCAAACTTACTATAAAACCCCAATTGACCTCAAATTTGCAATCCTGCCTCAGCCTCTGGGGTTCTGGGATTACAAGCATTTACCATCATGCCTGGTTTTCCCTCTGCTTTCTCCTGCCTCAGACTTCCATCCTTAGGACCCTCTTCCCCTAGGTCTCCCACCACCTGCTTGCTTTGTTTTTGTTTCCTTTTTTGTTTATTTGAGACAGGGTCTCACTGTGTAGCCCTCGTTGGCCTGGAATTCCCTATGAAGATCAGGCTGGCCCCGAACTCACAGAGATCCATCTGCCTCTGCCTCCTGAGTATTGGGACTAAGTTACCACATTCCACTTCTGCTTGCTTTTTGAGACTAGGTTTCACTCTGTAGACCAGGCTGGCCTGGAATCCTCCTGCCTCACTACTGCACCCTCTCGAGAAGAGAAAGCTCCAGTAATGACCCAGACGATGGTAGTCAACCTCCATTTCTCTCCTACCCCATCCTCACAGGCAGACACTGCACTGGCTAAGCAGGCAGAAGTCATCAATTCTCCTCACCTTCCTAGGGGCCAGTAGTTGTCTTTCCCAACTAGACTTACTGAACACCCACCTGCTTAGGAGCCAGGAGATCCCCTTCCCTGCTGGACTTACGGAGCTGCAGGAACACAGAGGTAGACATTGAATCCCCCTGCACCCACACCCATGGGAGCTTCCATTTTCCCCAGGCCCCGCCCATTTTCACAACCCAGAAAAATAAGCAGGCTGCAAGGAGATCCTGTGGCCACACGGTGGCGCTATCATCCAGGGACTTAATAGGCAGTCTAAGGGTGTTTGTTGGGGTGGGTTCAATGGATCCCCTCCAGGACTTTTCTAAGTACACCTTCCCATCCCATCCCACTGACCCGCTTCTTGTAGTAGATGCGCCACTTGTGATATTCCCTCATCACCACCTCGATGCGCCTCTTCCAGTAATTCCCCTCCAGAACCACAGCCTGGCGGAGGACAGGTGACAGCGTTCAGTGGGAAGGAAGGGTGGCATTGGCAGCCAGTGTCCCCATAACCTGCTTTTCACCCAATCCCTGCGGTGGGAGGAAGCCCCTGGGTGGATAAGCAGATCCCCCAGCTACCTCGGGTTTCCGGTGTTCATCCGCTTCAGATCCCTGCAGAGGGGTCACGAAGCCACACACCGGGCTCTTCCTCCGCTGCACATCTGAGGGATGAGAGCCAGGTCAGTGGTATACAGACTGGAATTCAAGTAATTCAAGTAAGGTTTTATAATCCTGACTGTCACAACCCTCTGTCCAGAGCACAAGGTCCCTGAGCTGGAGAAGGGACAGCCAAGAGGGCTCAATCATCCCTGAACACATGTGTCCTTTCCTGATACTCATGATCTCATCTGCAAAGCCAGGAGGGAGATGCTCTGGAACTTTCCTTGCTCTAGGACCTTGGCAGTCTACACACCCAAGTAGACGGGGTCTCTATATAATTGAGATTGACCTCAAACTTACTATAAAACCCCAATTGACCTCAAATTTGCAATCCTGCCTCAGCCTCTGGGGTTCTGGGATTACAAGCATTTACCATCATGCCTGGTTTTCCCTCTGCTTTCTCCTGCCTCAGACTTCCATCCTTAGGACCCTCTTCCCCTAGGTCTCCCACCACCTGCTTGCTTTGTTTTTGTTTCCTTTTTTGTTTATTTGAGACAGGGTCTCACTGTGTAGCCCTCGTTGGCCTGGAATTCCCTATGAAGATCAGGCTGGCCCCGAACTCACAGAGATCCATCTGCCTCTGCCTCCTGAGTATTGGGACTAAGTTACCACATTCCACTTCTGCTTGCTTTTTGAGACTAGGTTTCACTCTGTAGACCAGGCTGGCCTGGAATCCTCCTGCCTCACTACTGCACCCTCTCGAGAAGAGAAAGCTCCAGTAATGACCCAGACGATGGTAGTCAACCTCCATTTCTCTCCTACCCCATCCTCACAGGCAGACACTGCACTGGCTAAGCAGGCAGAAGTCATCAATTCTCCTCACCTTCCTAGGGGCCAGTAGTTGTCTTTCCCAACTAGACTTACTGAACACCCACCTGCTTAGGAGCCAGGAGATCCCCTTCCCTGCTGGACTTACGGAGCTGCAGGAACACAGAGGTAGACATTGAATCCCCCTGCACCCACACCCATGGGAGCTTCCATTTTCCCCAGGCCCCGCCCATTTTCACAACCCAGAAAAATAAGCAGGCTGCAAGGAGATCCTGTGGCCACACGGTGGCGCTATCATCCAGGGACTTAATAGGCAGTCTAAGGGTGTTTGTTGGGGTGGGTTCAATGGATCCCCTCCAGGACTTTTCTAAGTACACCTTCCCATCCCATCCCACTGACCCGCTTCTTGTAGTAGATGCGCCACTTGTGATATTCCCTCATCACCACCTCGATGCGCCTCTTCCAGTAATTCCCCTCCAGAACCACAGCCTGGCGGAGGACAGGTGACAGCGTTCAGTGGGAAGGAAGGGTGGCATTGGCAGCCAGTGTCCCCATAACCTGCTTTTCACCCAATCCCTGCGGTGGGAGGAAGCCCCTGGGTGGATAAGCAGATCCCCCAGCTACCTCGGGTTTCCGGTGTTCATCCGCTTCAGATCCCTGCAGAGGGGTCACGAAGCCACACACCGGGCTCTTCCTCCGCTGCACATCTGAGGGATGAGAGCCAGGTCAGTGGTATACAGACTGGAATTCAAGTAATTCAAGTAAGGTTTTATAATCCTGACTGTCACAACCCTCTGTCCAGAGCACAAGGTCCCTGAGCTGGAGAAGGGACAGCCAAGAGGGCTCAATCATCCCTGAACACATGTGTCCTTTCCTGATACTCATGATCTCATCTGCAAAGCCAGGAGGGAGATGCTCTGGAACTTTCCTTGCTCTAGGACCTTGGCAGTCTACACACCCAAGGGCCCATCTTTTTGTCCCCTCCTTCTGCACTTCCTCCTCCTCCCTCTTCCTGCTCCTCTTGGACCTTCGTCCACCTCTTTCTCTTCCTTCTTCCTCCTCCTCCTTTTCTTCCTTCTCTCCTCCTCCTGTTCTTCTCCCTCCCCCTCTTCTCTTCCTCCTCTTCCTTTTTCTTTTTTTCTTTTTGGTCTTTTCTTTGTAAAATATTTTATTATTTTTATTTTATGTGTATGAGTGTATTGTGTACACGTATGTGTCATGCAGGATTCCCCTGGAACTGGAGTTAAGTTGGACCATACGTAGCCGCCATGTGGGTGCTGGGAACTGAACCCGAGTCCTCTGCAAGAACAGTCAGTGCTCTTAACTGCTGAGCCATCTCGCCAGCTCCCTTCCCCCCCCCTTTTTTTTTGGTCTTTTTGAGACAGGGTCTCCCTGTAGCCCCAGCTGTTCTGGAACTCACTATGTAGACCAGGCTGGCCTTGAACTCACAGAGATCTGCCTGCCTCTGCCTCCAGAGTGCTGGGATTAAAGGTGTGTGCCACCATACCTGTCTCTCTTCCTTTTTCAAGACAGGGTTTCCTGTAGCCCAGGCTGGCTTTGAGCTCAGCTGTGAAGCAAGGGAACTTGAACTCCTCATCCTCCTACCTCTACCTGCCCAATGCTAGGAGTACCAATATGTGCCCTCCTATGTGCTTGGGGTGACTTTTCTTTTTCTTTCCTCTTCCTCTTCCTCCTCATGCTCCTCCTCCTCTTCCTCCTCTTCTTCCTCATCCTTTTTTTTAATGATACTGGAGTTGGAACCTAGGTCCTCACACATGCTAGGTAAGTACTCTACCACTGATCCATGCCCCCAGCTCCACAATGGGGATTGGGAGGGGTGGTGGGGTGTCTAGGCAGGTGTTCTACCACTGAGCCACATCCCCAGTCCCTCACAGGGAATTCTAGGCAGGTGCTCTACCACTGAACCATACCTTCAGCCCATCACTGGGGGATTCTAGGCAAGGGCTCTACCACTGAGCCACACCCCAACCCCTCACTGGGGGATTCTAGGCAGGTGCTCTACCACTGAGCCACCCACCAGCCTCTCACTGGGGGATTCTAGGCAGGTGCTCTTTTCTTCTATTCTCCATTGGCTACCTAACCCTTTGCATCCTTGCAGGGATGGATGTGGATGCTGGGTTGAAGGACCCAGGGATTAATCAGGACTTCTCAGAACATGCTAGAGAGATAAGGAAAGCAAACAAAGAATGTATAGATAATGCAAAGTGGAAAGTCCTTCCTGACCAAGGAGAATCACAAAGTGACTTGGCAGCTCTGAGGAAACCAAGAGGCTATGAGAGTGTGGGAGAGGTGTGGAGGGCAGGGAAGGAAGACTGTGGCCAGGGTGAGGCCAGGGACTTGCAGAGGGGCAGTAGGGACAGTAGGGGCACTGCTGGGTGAACTGAAGGTGACACTTTCTGTAAGGGGGTGAGTCAAGCTTTCTCCAGGGGTGCTGGGAAGACAGAATATCTGATTTTCTTTCTTTTTTTAATTGTTTTTTATTTTAAGACAGGGTCTCCCTGTATCCCCAGCTGGCCTGGAACTCACTATGAAGACCAGGCTGATCCAGTCCTCTTTTATTTATTAAAAAAATTTATATTGCTGGGTGTGGTGGCGCATGCAGAGGCAGGCAGATCTCTGTGAGTTCAAGGCCAGCCTGGTCTACATAGTGAGTTCCAGGACAGCTGGGGCTACAGGGAGACCCTGTCTCAAAAAAGACAAAAAAAAAAACTAACTAAATAAATAAATAAACCACAATAACAACAACAACAAAAACCCTTTAAAAATTTTTTTATATTGTCCTGGCATGGTGGCACACGCCTTTAATCCCAGCACTCGGGAGGCAGAGGCAGGCGGATCTCTGTGAGTTCAAGGCCAGCCTGGTCTACATAGTGAGTTCCAGGTTAGTTATGGCTACAGGGAGACCCTGCCTCAAAAAGACCAAATAATTTTTATTTTGACAGGGTCTCCCTGTAGCCCCAGCCCGCCTGGAATTCACTATGCAGACCGCCCTGGCCTGGATCTCACAGAGATCTGCCTGCCTCTGCCTTCTGAGTGCTGGGATTAAAGGCATGTGCCACCATGCCTGGCTATTTTTAAAAATTTTGATACATCTTTCCTATGTAGTCCAGGCTGGTCTCAAGTTGACACCTGCTTGTCTCAGCCACTAGAGTAGCTGAGACTACAGGTCTGTATCATCACAATCACTTTTTATTTTATTTTTTGTAGTGCTGGGTATTGAACCTAGGGCTTCCTGAATGCTATTCGAATTCACTACTGCAAAGCCACCCCTCAGCATGTCACTAGGGAATTCTAGGCACCAAGAATTCTACCACTATGGCATTCACCAGCCCTTCATGGGGGATTCTAAGCAGGTGCTCTACCACTGAGCCACACCCCAGACCCTCACTGGGGGTTCTAGGCAGGTGCCCATAAGGCCATTTGGCATAGTGGAAAAGATCCTGAACTTAGAACCACTCTAACAGGTTTCCCACTATCTCTGCCTGTTACTAGTTGTGACTTCAAGCAAGTTACCTAACCTCTCTGAACCTGTTTCCGTATCTATTCAGTGAGGCCAACAGGCCTAACTGCTCATGGTTGGTGTGGTGATGACAGATATAAAAGGGCCTGGCACTAAGTTAAGGTTCAGTGAATGATATACCTAGAGGCCACAGTCATTCATTTGGGGACAGTCCCCTCTGTGTCAAGGCAGCAGGATCAAAGGCTGTGCTCAGCTAGGAACACATAGTTCAGGAGGAACACACATGGTTTTCTCTCTACTGCTCCTGCTGGATTCCATCCAAACAGACAGAGACTTTAGTTTCTATTGATCCACATGCTTAAATAAATAAATAAATAAATAAATAAATAAATAAATGAATGTCTAAGACTTGTAAGCAGGTGGGTGTGGCAATGCCAAACCTGGGAGGCAGTGGCAGTCCCTCTACTGAAATCAAAGCAGATACCTGCTTGGTGTTCATTAAGAGGTTGGTAGCATTCCACCCAGGATTTTCCTCCATTTCCCCATTTACTAAGTGTTGCAATTGACCAGCAGCATATCTAACTTCCATGCACACCCTTTTCCTGTGGTTCAGGGGATGGAATCCTGTAGCTTGCATGTGTACTACTGAGCTACACCCCTAGCCCCTTACTGGGGGATTCTAGGCAGGTGCTCTACCCCTGAGCAACACCTCCAGGCCCTCACTGGGCGGGGGGGCATCTAGGCAGGTGTTCTACCACTGAGGTACACTCCTAGCCTTTTGCTGGTGGACTCTAGGCAGGTGATCTACCCATGAGCCATATCTATTTCCCTAATTGACTTTTTTTTTTTTTTTTTTTTGGTCTTTTTGAGACAAGGTCTCCCTGTAGCCACAGCTGGCCTGGATTCACTAATGGAGACCAGGCTGGCCTTGAACTCCACCTGCCTCTGCCTGGGATTAAAGGCGTGTGCCACCACACCCGGCCTAATTGACCTCTTTTAAGGAGCATTCCAATTAACTTACTTAGCTAAGGGGCTGCTGGATGTATCTTCACCTGACACCCCCATCTCAACTTCCCTCAGTTCTTTCCAAGGTGCCCTCTGCTGTACCTTCCCTCTCAACAGCTGCTGGTCCTGAGTTGCAGAATGTTCTGTGCATGGAGCGCTCCAGTTAGGGAACAGCCCTCCCAACTCAGCAGAACCCAAGGTGTCACTCACACTGAATGTACCAGGCTCTCCAGATGGCGTTGTTGAGGCGGATTTTATCCCGGCAGAGCAGCTTGAGGCCTTTGAAATTCTTCCACTTGGGAGAGACCAGCTTGCCACTGTAGACAGAGGATGGGAGGGAAGAAGGTATGTCAGGGTTGGCTCCAGGAAAGGGTAGATAGGGGCAGAAATTTAAAGCGCCTGAAATTCCTAGCCTGCAGTCAAATCTCACAGATACTGCCCCCCCCATAAGAGACAGAGGAGGGAGGGAGAGGGAGAGAGAGGGAAGAGGGAGAGATTGATTCTGTATGTAGTCCAGGTTGGCCTGGAACTAAAAATCTTCCTGCCTCGTAGTCTGATAGACTCATAAGGTCCCACTCCCTCATTGAAGGTCTACAGGCAGTTAGTGGTTGCTAGGAGAGATGCTTTTTTCAGTGGTATTGCCACTAATAAAGTGCCCATGCTCCTGTAAGCAACCCTAAACTCATCAGGTAACAACAGAAAAGGCATAGCCAAGCAGGCGTGGTGGCACAAGCCTTTAATCCCAGCACTCGGGAGGCAGAGGCAGGTGGATCTCAGGGAATTTGAGGCCAGCCAGGTCTACACAGTGAGTTCTAGACCAATCAGTGCTATACAGTGAGACCCTGTCTAAACAAAACAAAACAAAAGACAGGAAGGTCATGGAAACGACTCAGCAGGTAATGGTGCTTGCTGTCAAGCCTGGTGACCTGATGACCATCCATAGGCCAAGGAGATGGCTCAGCAGGTAAAGGTGCAGGCCGCCAATCCTGGTGACTTGATGACCATCCACACGACCCACATAGTAGAAGGAGAAAACTGACTCCCACAAGTTGTCCTCTGACCTCTATGCACCCCCCCCCATAAATAAATGTAATAAAAATAAATTTTTTACAATTCTGAAAGTAGGGGTGGGCATGATGGCATACACTTTTAATCCCAGCAGTATGGAGGCAGAAGCAGGCAGATTTCAAGACTAACCTGGTCTATATAGAGAGTTCCTAGCTAGCCAGGGCTATATAGTGAGACCCTGACCTAAAAACTAAAAAAGAAAGACATAAAAGTGAAGGGGATCAGTTGGGAAGAGGAAGGGAATTAGCAGGAGTAGGAGGGGACAAGAGAGGGTAATGGGGAGAATATGATCAGAATACATTTGACAGGGCTGGAGTGATGGCTCCACAGTTAAGAGCACATACTGCTCTTGCAGAGGACCCAAATTCAATTCCCAACACCCAAGTCAGGCAGCTCACAACAACCTGTAACCCCAGCTCCAGGGAATTGGATGCTGTCTTCTAGCCTCTGTGGGCACCTACACACATGTGCACATACATACACACAATTAGAAATAATAAAATAAATATTTAATATCCTTGGGGCTGGAGAGATAGCTCAGCAGAGGACCTGGGTTCAGTTCCCAGAACCCACGTGGTGGCTAACAAACATCTGTAACTCCAGTTCCAGGGGATCTAATGCCCTCTTCTGGCTTCCATGGGCACTGCATCCACATGATGTACTTATATACATGCAGGTAAAACACTCATGCACATAAAAATAAATAAAAATGAGATATCCTCCTGCCTCAGCCTCCTCAGTACTGAGATTACAGGTGTGTATCATATCTGGTTCTCACATTCCCCCCCCGCTTCATTCTTTCTTTTATTTTTGAGAGTTGTTCTCATGTAGTTTTGAGCTAGTATTACGTTAGTCAAGCACATAATCTTGGACTTTCTATGTAGCTGATGTTGAACTCCTGATCCTCCTGCTTCTGACTCAGAGTGCTGAGATTACAGGTGTGCATTACTGTGCTTGGTCTCCCTCCCTCCCTCCCTTCTTTCCTTTTTTAATATTTATTTAATTTTTAAATTTTATGTGTATGCATGTATTGCCTGCATGTATGTAAGTGTACCTGTGTCGTGCAATGCCCACGGAGGACAGAAGATCCAATTCGGATCCCCCGGAATTGGAGTTACTGTTGTTAGCTGCCATGTGGATACTGGAATTCAAACCGGATCGGATCTTCTGCAAGAACAGCAGTGTTCTTAACTGTTGAGCCATCTCTCCAGCCCTTTTGTTTGTTTTTGAGACAGGGTCTCACTATGTAGCCCTAGCTGTCCTGAAACTCACTGTGTAGGCACAATCCATCAGTCTCTGCCTCCAGAGTGCTGGGACTAAAGGCTTTTGGTGAGCCAGTCGTGGTAGCCCACACCTTAAGTCCCAGCACTTGGGAGGCAAAGGCAGGCAGAGCTCTGTGAATTCAAGGCCAGACTGGTCTACATAGTGAGCTTCAGGCCAGCTGGGGCTACAGGGAGACCCTGTCTCAAAAAAGATTTTTTGAAAAAAAAAGGCTTTTGATGCCTTTTTTGTTTGCCAGTCCTGCTGGCTGGTTTAGGAACAGGAGAGGTCTGGGGAATGGGGACAATCTGCCTGGATAGGGAGGATGTGCCTATGTGTCCACAAATAATGTGTAGCCATCTGAAGGGAGCAGGAAGTCATGACCTTCTCCTGGTTGTTCTAAAGGAGAGAATCATCCAGGCCAAAGGAAAACAGCATGGAGACATCTTAACCTTCACCTTGACCTGGGGAGTGCACCAAGGGAATGGTGTGAAGGGATTCTACACAGGTGATAGCTTTGGCTCTCAGGGTCCTGCTGGGCACAGGCTAAGTTGTCACCACCTGGAAACTGACCCAGGTGGCCACGATGCTCCAAGTCTTTAATATCGTCCAGTCCCACTTCCATTCTTTTCCAAGGTTCCTCCTCATGGTCTACAAGCCAGGCATGTACACAAGTCCCTCTGGCCTACCTTTTCCAACCCTTGCTCAGATGGGGAGTCCCTCAAGGTATAGCCTTGAATTCAAACCAGGCTGGGGAGTGGAGGTGTGGTTCAGTGGTAAAGTACCTGCCTAGAAACCCCAAATGAGGGGCTGGGAGTGTGGCTCAGCAGTAGCACTCTTCCTAGAACTCCCACTGAGGGACAGGGAATGTAGCTCAGTGACAGAGAATTTGCTGGGCATGCATGAGGTCCTGGATCCATCTGGAGCACTGTACACACAGTCAGGCCTGCTCTCTCCAGTGGCCCCCTCTCTCATCTTGGCTGGGGATGGTGGGTGACCATCCGATTCCTCAGCTTCTGTCTTCCTGTACTATTTCGGGTACATGGGTCATTGGGCCGCCTCTCCTTTCTGGTCTCCAAGCTCCCATATTTACTTTGGGCTGATGATGGTTGCTGGGGGGTAGGGTGAGGCCTGCTACCTCAGGACACAACAGGCCTCATTACCCAAATAGGCCACACAGACCAGCACCCTAGCCCGCTGACTGGCCCCCTGCTTCCCGTCATTAGATAAATACCATCTGTCTGGTAAGGCAACATGATAGGGTGGGGGACTCTGGCCCTTCCTGGGCTAGCTTCTTTTGTGCCATGGAGGGCACAGGGGGCATACTCCTGAGTTTGTGGCTCTGCCTGTCTCCCAGCAACCACTCAGTCAGTTCTGCTCACTCAGCCTACCTGCAGCCTTCTACTTTCCCTCCTCTAGCTCTGCTGAGAGCTGATGGCCTAAATTGGAGGAGATGAGTCAGTGGTAATACCCAAGCCAGGAGGAAAGGATTTGCTTGGATGGATGTTGAGGAAGAGTCTTTCTAGCCTGTGCCAAAAGTCTAGGGCCAAGGTTCAAGAGCTATGAGCAATGTGGGGAAGGGGGGAGAGCAGAGGATCTTGGAAGTGGGATGGGACAGCTCTGTGTGTGTGTGTGTATGTGTGTGTGTGTCTGTGTGTGTGTCTGTGTGTGCCAGAGGACAACCTGAAATTTTGTTTCTCAGGCATCACCCACCTCAATTTCTTTTTTTTTGAGACAGGGACTCACTATATAGCCCTGACTAGTCTATACTTTCCTATGTAGAACAAGCTTCACATAAACAACCTACCTCTGCTTCTGAGTGCTAGGATTAAAGGCATACACCACCATGCCCGGCCCTCCTTATTTTTTGAGATAGCCTCTCCTTGGCTTGGAACTCACAAGTAAGCTAAACTTGCTGGCCAGTGAACCTCAGAGGTTTACCTGTCCCTGACTCCCCAGAGCTAGGATCACAAGGGCACACCATCATGGCTGGCTTTCCTTATGTGGGTTCTGGGGAGCCAACTCAAGCTCTTATACTTGCAAGGCAAGCACTTTCTCAATTGGAGTTATTTCCGTGTGCAGATGGTTTTAAGACAGGGTCTTACTATGTAGCCAGGCTGGCCGAGAACTCTATCCTCCTGCCTCAGCCTGCAGAGAGCTGGGATTGCAGGCCAGTGCCACCCCTCCAGCTCCTGAACAAGTATGTTCTTGGCACCTCTACAGCTGTCCTCCCCAGGGTTTCTACCCACAGAACTGGGAACACAGCATCCAAGAAGTCCTCCTTGCAGAATGTGAGAGGCAGCCAGGTGTCTGCAGGCTGTCCTCCCTGTTTAGCTGACCAATTCCACCCACTACTTTTCTGAAAAACCCTGCTGGTTGGACTCTGCCTTTTTCAGTTACTCCCTAAAATCTCTCATCTTCTGATCCCTTCTGTCAGGGTGCCCCTATAACTGGCTGTCTTTGACAGTCTCCCAGTCTGAATTTGTTTTCTTTTCTTTTTTTTTTTTTTTTTTTTTTTTTTTTTTTTTTTTTTTTTTTAAAGACAGGGGACTCATTATATATAGCCCTGGCTGGAGGCAGGCCTAGAATTCACAGCCATCTGCCACCACACCCCTAGCCTTTGTTTTTATTTAATTATTTTGAGACAGGGTCTCTGGTATCTCAGGCAGGCCTCAAACCTCAAGCAGTGGAGGATGACCTTGAACTCCTGATTCTCCCAGAGTACTGGGATTCCAGGAATACACCCTCAGCTTATCAGCTTTCCTTTTGTTTTTATTTTTGTTTATTATTATTGGGGGAGTGTGCACATACCATGGCTCATACAGGGAGGTTAGAGAACAACTTTGCAGTGTGTTCTGTCCATCCACTTTACATGGGTTGGGGAATTAAACTTAAATCATCAGGCCCAGCAGCAAGCACCCCCACCTGCAGAGCCATCTCATTGGCCCATATTTGCTTTTTTCCTTCACCAAGTATGCAAAAATCAAAGGTTCCTGTGTACTTGGCCACTCCCTAATGCTTAAAATCCCACTCAAGGGAATTTAATGTCCTGTGTCTTGGGGGACAGAGTGCAGGACACAGACCTCTCTACCCCTCAACAGCTTACCGCTGGAATTATTTCAGCCTCAGTCAGTCTCTGAAGGGGGAAGTTCTTCCAGTGTGCTCTGTCCCCCATATGCCATCTCCCTAGACCCTCTCTGCCATTGAGCCACCCATAGTCAGGGTTGAGGGGGACCCAAGTAAGGCAGCCCAAATGGAACAGTGTGAGGTAAAACAGAAAGCTCACTCAGGGAGTAGGTGGGAAATAAGAGACCGTTGGGGAACCTAGGGACCCTGGGTTTCTTTTGGCTCCTGCCTGTAAATCCAGCACTTGAGAGGCCAAAGCAAGAGAGTTGCTGGCAAATTGGAGTTCAAGGCCAGCCTGGGCTACAATTCGAGATCCTGTCTCATCAAGAAAGGAAGGAAAGAAATTAAGAAGGAAGTTAGGAAGGGAAGGAGGGGGGAGGAAAAAGGGGGAGAGAAGAGAGATGGAGGAAATCCCCTCTCCTTCAGTGAACCCCAATAATTGGAATTCTTTGATTACTACAACGTTGTCCCAGTGTGAGCTGCTTCCAGTGTACCAGGACCTCAGATGCTCCCTTCCCAAGCAGTCTCGTGATGCCCAAGGTGGGGGAGGGAGAAAGGGACAGGGAATTTGAACTTTCCACATCGGTCTCTGAGCCCTGAACTATCCGGTTGCAACATGGCCTGGGCTAGAGGCCAGAACTTGTGGGCCAAGGTTACTTTGCCTCCAGCCAATGGGGGCTCGCGGCTGGTCCACCACGAGGTAGACCACGCTCTTCCGCAATCCCCACCCCAGCCCAGGCTCCCTTGTGGGGCAGCAGGTACGGGTCTGCAGCCAGCGGCTCCAGTGAATGGGAGGAGGCTTGCTTGAGGAAGAGGGATGTTTGCAGAGAGAAAAGATCAAGGCCGGCCGATCCCCCTTTCTCTCCTACTGTTTTCGGTTGATAATTTATCCCGGTCCCTCTGCTCCCGGGAACTTTGCTCCAGGGCACTGGGCCAAGACCCCAGCTCGCGCCCTTCTCTGGGACACAGGAGTGGAACTGCAGTCGGGTGCGGCCCGGGAGCTCAGCGTGCAGCAAAGTCAGGGGATCCAGGCTGCATTTTAGCCTTCCACAGCGACCGGGTTGGGGAGACCAGCCTCCCCATCTCCAACCCAGGGCGGCCTGTAGCACCCCCTGCCGGCTCTGCGCGGGTCCTGGGCACACTCTTCCAGCCAACCTTGTCCTAGCAGGTCCAGAAGAGGCGTTCTTGGCCGGGCGTGGTGGCACCCACTTTTAATCCCAGCACTTAGGAGACAGAGGCGGGTGGATCATTTAATTCCAGGTCAGCTTGGTCTACATGGTGAGTCCCAGGCCAACCAGGGCAACGTAGTGAGACTCAAAAACCAAACCAAGCCGGGTGTGGTGGCGCACGCCTTTAATCCCAGCACTTGGGAAGCAGAGG